CTTGCTAACCAATGGGACTTCAGTGTGAAGACCCCTTCTAGCCAACCAATTGGATGGTCTATTACCTTCTCTATGTATGTGAGTGACAATTATGGACCAGTTTTTCAGCAAAAGGTGAATCCCAGAAATCTAGAAAATTAAGTTCCAGGGAATGTCACAAGAACCCTTGATGATGTTGATAAGAAGTAAGGTTGATAAGAAGTTGATAAGAAGTAAGGAATCAGATTCAACCCACAGCTGGTTAAAATTGCTGGTTTTGGCAAAATAGAGAGCCCAAAAAACTGCTTGACATTCAGCATCAAGAGGATCAATAGCTGCATATTGTGAATTATAGCTATCATTAGTATTGACCTTTATCCAGCCATTCTAGGGGAGAGACCAGCCAATTTTCAAAACTTTAGTAACAGAAGGTTTAAAAGAGGGGGTCAGCTCCAACACAGCTCTAAACTTTTTGAGTTTAATCAATTTTTATAAATAAGCAATGCAATTCAGACCAACTTTCATAGGATCTAAGGGAATTGCTTCATACTTCAGATGATTTCTAGCCATCCAAACAAACCAAGACACAATATTGGGGATAACTTGAAGTTTGCCACCCCTCCAATCAGACCAACAATTATAGAAAACATCCCATGAAAGATTCATGGTAGGAACATTCAGTTTTGCTAGCACAAAATTTCAAATTTGTTGTACCTAAGGGCAGGCAAAGAAAAGGTGAGCAAGGGTCTCCTTCTCTGTCAGATAAAAAATACATCTAGAGGGTCCTCTAAGACCCTTCAATTTTAAGATATCATCAATGGGAATGAGCTTTGAGAAGAGTCTCTAAATGAAAAAGGGCATGGAAGGAATAAGAAACCTGTTCCAAATTATATGACCCCAATCTACCACCTATTAGAGAGGGGTAGGTTGAGATAAGTTCTTTTTTACTACAATTCTGTCCTTTTTCCCTTGTTGAATAGAAATTTTCTGAATATTAGAGATTTGAGAGGGGTTGCAGAATGGAAGGATGGGATTCAGATTCTAATTGTCACTCTCCCAAAGATCCTTTACTAACTTGGGGAAGGCTAGAGCATTGTGATCTTGAAGTAGGCTGCCTTCCAAAGACTAATTATCCCACCAGAGGTTTACCAAACCTTCACCAATCTCCCATACAAACATTTAGCTTCCTCCCTAATCTGTCTGTAGCATCTTTTTCCACATAGGAGAGTCCCCCAAGCTAATAGATAAGTGAGTAGGATACTTACAGTATTTACCCCATAAGAATTCAACCCAAAGGGAGTCCTGAGATATGAATTTAATCCAGAGTTTACAAAGGTTAGTGCGCATTATTTGAGGAAAGGACTTAAAGCCCAACCCTCCTTCCATTAAAGGTTTACAAGATTTAGCCCAAGTGGTCTAGTGTTTTTGTTTCCTTTGAATAGCCCACAAAAATCTATTGAACATTCCTTCTAATAGTCTTTGAGTAGCCTTCTTCATAACATTCATTTGCAAGAGATAAGATGGAATGGCAGATAAAACACTCTTCAGAAGGGTTATCCTACCCCCATTGGATAAATAAGAATTCTCCTAGGCTTGCAGTTTGCTTTGAATCGTCTCTAGGATATGATCAAACTGAAAAACTTTAGTTCTCCCTTTGATAAGAAACACCCCTAGATATTTCACTGGAAGGCAGCTGTTGGTAAGGCCAGTTAAGTCAGAAACTCAGTTCTTAAACTTACTCTTGCATTGTTTGCTGAAAATAGAAATGCATTTCTGGACATTCATCTTCATTCCAGAAACATCTTGGAAATTCTCCAAGCACTGCATAAATAATCTAACAGCAAGTTTGGAAGCTTTGGAAAGATAATAATATCATCAGCTAAAGCCAAATGATTAATTAAGATGGAATATCTATGACTGTAAAGGGAGTGGGGTTTCTTGATTGCCATTTCATTCATAGCTGTGGATAAGTAGTCAAAGACCAAAATAAATATTGTAGGAGAGAGTGGATCAACTTGTTTAATACCTCTAGATGAACTAAAAAAAATCATGTGAATTTCCATTAATTAAGACTAAATGAAAATTTTTTGCCACCCATCTATTTCTTAGAGAGACAAAAGAAAGGGGAAAACCTCCAACAATGAGTACTTGTTCAATAAAGTTCCAACTGATTGTATCATATGATTTTCTAATATCCAATTTGATAATTAAATTCCCTCCTCTAGTGGTTATGTCCAGATCTAATACTAACTCTTGGGCCAAGAGAACATTATCCACAATGCTTCTACCCTTGATAAAGGCTGTCTGATTCCTACTGACAATTTGATTCAAATGAAGTTGTAATCTATGGACCAAAACTTTGCTTATAATCTTTGAAATAATAGAAGTAAGGGTAATAGGTCTGAAATTTTCCCATTGGTGAGGAGGTTTCTCTTTGGGAACCAAAGTAATTGTAAATGAGGAGAAATATTTGGGGAGATCAACACCCCAGAAAAAAATTTGGACTGTTGTAATAACATCTCTCTTCACAATCAGCAAAGCCTTTTTATAGGAACCCATCTGGTCCAGTAACCTTAGTATTATCAATAGAATTGAGGGCAACTCAGATTTCCTTCTCATCAGGAATAGCAGTGAGAGAAAGGCTTTTAGTGAACTCCCTTTCCTTATCAAATAGAGTGTATTGAATGGCAAGCTTGAGGACAGGAGGTTGTTTGAAAATTTCTTGAAAATACTGAACAACATTCAAAGGTATACCTTCAGCAGAAGTAATCAATTGTCCATCTTGTGTAATGATTTTGTGAAGAGTATTGCATTTCTTCCTATAGTTGATGCAGGCATGGTAATATTTAGAATTTCTATCCCAATCACAGAATTTCATTCTATTTGCCTTTTGAGCATAGAATGAGAGCATAGAACTCCTCTTGCATATTGATGGCATCCAGCAGTTGTTCATTAGCAGTGTAGATCAGTTTCAGAACCAGGACCATTGACTATGAGTTGTTCTATTTGCAGTACCTTCTTTTCAACCTTTAGAACCTTGCTATCAATTTTCCTCACTACTTCCCGGTTCCACTTAGATAGATGTTTACTGACTTTTTTATGTAAGAGACAGATTTTGATACCAGGAATGTGATGGTGTACATAAGCCCAAGCCAGAGAGACTTGATTTAAAAGATCACCATGCATGGACCACATATTAAGATATCTAAAATTGGCTTTGCTTTTAGTAGTGTTGGCAAGTGTTGGCAAATATATTAACAAGTAAAGGTCTATGGTCAGACCCACTCATAGCCAAGTGTTGGACAGATGTGTGAAGAAAATCTCTAAACCAAATGTCATTCATCAAAATTCTATCCAGCCTCTCCCATATCTTCTTCCTTCTCCATGTGAACTTAGGACTAGTAAATCTCAAATCATATAGTCCAGCAGACTGGATATTATCATTGAAAAAGTTCATAAGGTTGATATCAGGAGATCTCCCACCCTTCTTCTCATTAGGTGAAGAGAGGCAATTGAAGTCACCCCCAACAAAACATAAATCCCTTATAGAATTACTGAAATCTTGTAACTGTTGCCAGAGTTCCTGTCTAGCATTGGAAGAGCAGCCAACATATATAAATGTGGCAAAGCCATTATAACTATTTATGTTAAGTTTAAAATGAATGAATTGGTCTCCCTCTTTGATGACAGTACATTGAATCTTCTGCTTGCAGAACAACCAAATTTTACTATTAGCGTTAACAAGTAGCTGAAATTCAAGGAATTTCCACACAATTGTATTGATATGTTTAGATATCATAGGTTCAAATATTGCAATGATCCAAGGTTTATACATCCTATTGAGAGCTAGAATTCTATTTAGGGATCTAGGATGTGCTAATCCCTTAAAATTCCAATTGATTGAATTCATTTAACCAATTGAGGTGGACTTTCCTCTCCTCCTAGTCCTAACAGTGCTAGAAGGGAGAGTGAGGTCTTCCTCCAACTATGAAGAGGAAGGAAGGAGATTCCTTAGTTCCCAAGGAATTTTCTTATTTTTTTCTTTCTGAATTTGCCATCCTTCTTCATTTTTTTTTGTTATATGCAATAGCAAAGGATCTTCCACTGGAATATCAATATCATTATCCCTTATTTCAACAGGAGGTGTTTGAATTGCAGTACACTGTAACTGTTCAACTTGAGGTGATGCTGGGATAGAATGAAGCTACTCAGCCTGAGGTTGTGGAACATTTTTCATAGAATTATAAGGATTGACAGCACTTTTATCAATATTTTGAGATAATTCAGGCAACTCCTATAAAGTGGCCTCCTGAGTCCTTGCCCCAGGAAATTCAGAATCCTGGGCTGCAGTTCTATCATCAGCTAGCATCTCAATTCCCTGTGCCTCTTTTTCCTCAGGATTAGGTCTGACTAACCTTCTTCTAAGATTGGGATGAAGCCTAAAGCATTTCTCATTAGTATGGCCAAACATTTTTCAGTGATGACAGTAATATGGCCTTTGCTCAATTAATATTGATGGAAGGAGCATTATACGGCTCCCTACGTGTTTATGAGAAATAAAAGTACATAAAAACTAAATTGGAAGGTCCCCTGTCTAAAATCCAAACAACAAAATGCCTCACACCTAAAGAGGGTGACAATCCACAAAAAGAGCCCTTACAAAAAGTATATATATATATATATATATATATA